AACCAGATGTTCCCAGTAAGAACCTCTGTTTGCTATGCACATACTCACATTAGACACCAAAATCAGGACCAATGTACTCTTATTATGAGAACTACTGCCCAGCAGGAGGGACCCTGGTTTCTGTGCTCACATATGTACAAAATGGGCACTACCAAAAGATGAGCATGCCAGGCACTCTGCAATCATCCTCATCTTTGGCAGTTTGGGTGATTCTCCTCTTTATCTGCTGCTTCTACATCACAATTTGAAAACAGCTGCTTTTCTCTATACACTATAATTTTCTGTTAAGTTTTATTTGAGTACCTGGCAAAAGGCTTATGAGATTTTGATTATACAAATTCTGTATTCACTCAGTTTAAGCAAAATAGGTTTTGATGTCGTCAATTCTCCTCTAGACGATGTAGTCCATATTCCACCATCCCAAATGAATAAAAATTCCAGTACTTTCTGATCCTGAAGAGAATCATGTCTTTCACAAATATACAATTCAAATTAATGCTACCGTATGCCAGTATGGTTTCAGCAAATCTTAATATAGAACCAACTGTAATTCACAAATAATCAAAGTACTGCTTCTCTTTATTTGGGAGAGCTTATTCTATATCAATCTACACCACCGGGTAAGATGCACACTATCTTTTAATCAATCACTTAACAAATATTGATTGGGCCTCTGAAACCCACCTGGCACTGTAACTGGGATGGTTCAGTGAAGGCAGCAAGCATGGTTCCTACCTCATGAAACCTCCATTTGATTGGGAATTTTCCATTCAAATATGATACAAGTCTAAAAACTATTTGTCATGCATATGAATACACTCGATGAAATAAAAAGACAATTTATAGTCATAGCAGTATATAGAAGCCTGATATAAATTATCATGCACATACTATTTGTTTAATCAAAATTCCTTTAGGCATTTCAAATAAGTTTTGCACCTTCTCTCCATTGTTCCTCTAGCAAACAGATTAACCATCTCTGTACTCACTAATGCTTCAACAGCAATCAAGACTGGGACTGGAGGCATGGCTCAAGTGGTAGAGTGCCTGCCTACCATGTGCAAGGTCCTGAGTTCAAGTTCCGGTACTGACAAAAGAAGAAAAAGAAAAAAGACCCCCCTACCCCCCAGGACTGGATTGGAGGTGTGGCTCAAGTGGTAGAACACCTACTTAGCAAGTGTAAGGCCCCAAGTTCAAATCTCAGTACTGCCAAAAAGAAAAAAAGAAAGAAAAGGAAAAAGAAAATAAAAGTAATCAAGATTAAATCTGTAGGCACAAATATAACTAGCAACAGCTGCCTATAATGTGGGGGAAGATACTGCATTTTGAAGATATCTGTGATTATACATTTTAAGACCTTAAAGACACTGAGCACCATCCCCAGTCCCTATTAAAATGCATTTTGTTTATTTATTTACATATTTTTATTTTTGGCAGTACTGAGGTTTGAGCCTCACGCTTGCTAGGCAGGCACTCTATCGCTTGAGCCACTCTACCAGCCCTTTAAATACATTTTAAATACTATGTGTATAGTATGACACTTAAAGACCCAAAGCATCAAGTCCAGGTTGTCAACCTCTAAATCTATGACAGGTTAGTCCAGCTATTTCCTGCCCTGAGCAGATCTAATCACCATCATGGAACCCCCGCAGGTAACCCTGCAGGTAAAGGATGTCACTAACGTCAACCGACAAACCTAACCCCCAAGACCTGTGACTGCAAATGAGGCCTACACACAGCAAGGCCACTTGAGAGCATTCCCGGGTTTTTCTTGATGAGATGGTTCAAGGAATGGTAGGTTTTGTTATGTGTAAACAATAAAACATTTCTGAGTTATTTTCTGTTTTGATATTACTCCCCAGATAAGGGAAGAAAGCAGAACAGGAAAAGCACTAAACATCGACATCAGAAGGACGAAGTTCACTCGTGCAGAAGTCACCCACACCAAGACAGTTTATGATTGTACTGGGTGAACAGCCTTAAAGATGTTCTGACCCAGCTATAAAGGACACAAGCACACCTAAGGATGTCTAGTTACTTGTGATGGCAAAAAAAGTAGCAAAGGTGAAAGGTTAAAAAGAAGTGTCATCCCTCACAGAACTCCAGTCACTGGGCTTAGAAATGGAGTCGCTACCTTTGTTGCTCTCTTCACAACTTGGCACTGAAAGGCAGATAAATAAAACTGACTAACAATAAACTGTACTCAGAAATACATGGCCACTGAAACTCAGTATATCAGTGGAAGAAAGCAATTTAAAGAAAGTGAACCTGTTTTTAAAAAGAATATGAAATTACATCTGGTACACATATACAAACAAGCACAGAATCCTTTCTAAAGTACTTATTTTTGGTGTTGGCTTGTGTATGTGGACTTTCCTACTGTTCTCTTCTCACAGGGCAACATACTGTATCAAAACGATTTCAGGTTAATATAGGAGCATTTTCTCCTGTAAGAAAATACTAAAGAATCAAAGACATAAAAAAAAAAATTAAAAATTGTGAAGGGCTGGGGATGTAGCTCAGTGGTAGGGCACTTGCCTAGCATGCATGAGGCACTGGGTTCCATCTCCACCACCACAAATAAGACAGGAAAAACAACAACAAAAACCAAAAACAACCAAAAAATAACCAGAGACTATAAACTGTTTTTGTTTCCAGGATCTAAAATTAATTTTGATATCACAGCTTCCTATGGCTATACAATAAAGGAAAGAAATGTGACAGATTTTAAAAGTAGGAGCTCTGACTGCTCTTTAAAGGACTTCCTGAAGGAACTGAACTTAGATCTCTGGAAAGATGCCAACTTGGCACCAGTGAAAACTGGTCACTTGGGGCAAAGCAGCATGTCTTCCACTGGACTAGGTGGGACCACTAAGTTGCACACTACACCCTACCAGTTCCTTTTATGTTCTACCCTAAAAGAGACTGAACTAAAGTATTTTAGGCAGCTACAAGGATCAAAATCCAGTTAGTAACTCTGAAAACATCTTTCTGAATCAGGCTTATTTCATGAGTATCTGTGAGTACAATACTAACTGGTGCCAATGACTGAACCAAAGCTTGTTAAACACCATGGCTTCAGGCACTACCTTAATAAACTACCTGTACCTTAATCAGTCCAGGCAGCTGACTACCCACTGCAGTTCCTCCATCAAAAGATGGCATCCAGAGGGCCCTGTGAAGGGCACACAGGGAGATTCATCAAGACAGGGTCATCAATTACACAGTGTTCTGAAGCAGATGAGTGTGTTAACTCTTCCTGTTTGGAATATGAAGAAGAATGTAAAAAACCATGTTGCTAAAAACAGTAGGTCAAAAATCACTGAACCAGGTGGCTCAGTGGCTCACACCTGTAATCCTACTTGGGAGGCTGAGATCAGGAAGATGGCAGTCTGAAGTCAGCTTGGCCAAATAGTTCCTGTGATCCCCATTTCAAAAAACCAGAGCAAAATGGACTGGAGGAGTGGCTCAAGTGGTAGAGTACAAGCACAAAGCATTGAGTTCAAAACCCAGGCCCACAAAAGAAAAAAATAAATCAGTAAGTAATTCATTTAAAAATTCTTCTTGGCTTTAAAGAGGTGTGAGACATTATAAATATGCCCAACTTGTTTAAAATTCCCCCAAATGACAAATTTATACATAAAGTGTCTTAATTTAAGAAATTATTTTCTTGAGTGTTACTCTCAAAGGAAATACCAATAGAGACATGGGGTGAAGGGCTAAGAGGACACAATAGAAGAGAGATGAATAAGAAATTCTATTTAAGTAGACTCACCAAAGTTATTGACATAAAGAAACCTCCTACAACAAATAAAAGTGCAGAGAGCTCAGAAACATTTCCATCATAGCCATCTGTGCAGGTAAGGTTTTCAACCATTACTTGTTTGTAATAAGGAATGTATCTGGTAGCAGTTTGGGCTACCACCAAAATACCAAGTCAAGATGATAATACAGAATAAATTCTATTTTATGCAAAGCAACTGAGACTTAAAAATTACTGTGCCAGGTCTATGAGGTTCAGGAAGGAAGGAAGGAAAGGAGAGAGAAAGAGAAAGACGGGAGGGAGGGGGGGAGAGAGAGAGGAAGAAGGGAAGGAGGGAAGGAAGGAAAGGAGGAAGGAAAGAAAGAAAGGAGGGAAGGAAGGAAAGAAGGATAAACAGCAGCTTCAAACATTTGAAAAACACCAAAAGGACCCAAATACCACCTACTGTGATAAAAGAAAATCACGTATGTTGGTATTTGCGATAAAAGAAAAAAAATTACCAATATTCAAAGAGCCATTTTAGATTCTGTTTTCTAGGGGGAAAATTCAACTCCATCCTAACCTTCCAACCACTCAACTTGCCCCAAAACGTGTCCCCTCCATTAGGGAAAAAAAAAAAAAAAAAGCAAAAAAGTAAAAAAGCAAGGTGCCTAACGACGGCACAGCACACAACACACCTTCCCGGACCTCCCAACCTTGCGAGGTCCTCATTAGCCTCCCCCACCCCGCCAAGTGTCGGTGGCCCGCACCACAGTTCAGCCGCCCTCTCTGTCCCCCGCCGACGGAACACACCTGCAGCCTTCTGACCATCCCAATTACTTCCTGCCGGGAGAGCTCAGACCCCAGCATCGGGGAGACCGCCCCTGCCTCTGAAATGCAGCTCTCTGAGGACAGGCCACGGAGAACCCAGATGGACAGGGAGAAGCAGGTGGCTCAAGCCACAGTGGCCGGACAGAACCGCCCCCGGTGACAGTCACACCAGCCACTAACTGTTCAAAAGGAGAAAACGCAAGAGCCGACGGGCGGGGGATGGGAGCGGGGTTAAAACCACCCCCGCAGGATGCGGCCGTGGGGGCGGGGACAAGAGGCTCCGACCCCCCAGTCCCCGAGCCCACCCGCGGACCCCGACGCTGGACCTCCCGAGCCCCGGGAGGGCGGATAACCGGCGTGGGAGGCCGCGCCACGCCGGGGGAGGAAGCCAGGGCAGCAGGGCGCGCGGCTCGGCCCCGAGGCTCACCCGCCTGCGAAGAGGTGAAGCAGCGTGTTCTCCTTCTGCTGAGTGCCGGTCGCCATGGCCGCGCCGGCTTCGCGGCCCGCCGCCGCTGCTCAAGGGATGCGCGAGGTCGCTTGGTCCACTCGCCCTACTGCCCTCAGGTGGCCGACAGCGTCCCCATTCGCTCGTGGGCCAAGACGCCCAGGTCCCTACCCGGCGTGGCCACCCGGCCCTTTACCGGCCTCTGCGGCCCGAGCCCGGCAGCCAACGAGAGCCCAGCGCGCAGCCGTCACGTGGCGGAGGCTGGGCCGTGACGTCACGCGGCGGCGCAGGCCGGAGGCGGAGCGCGGCGGGGGTGTGGGCCCAGATTCCGTGCTCTCATTGGATAGTGGGCGGGGCGACTCCTCAGCTGGGGGCGGGGTCAGCTCAGAGCAGTTGGCTGGGCGGAGCGATCTAGGCTAGGGAGTGGATGAAGTGGAAACTGGCTGAGTTTCTCCCCCCCAGTTCAGAGGCTCCCCCCCAGTTCAGAGGCTCCCCCCCAGGTCTTGCTTGTCAAAGCGTAGGTAACTAGGCCCTAGGCATCTCCTTTTAAAAAAAGTTCACTTTGCGATACTTACATGTGCAAAAAAGTACACAAATTACATGTTACCTCTCACACCTCTGTACTACCACCCACCTTGGGGGTGGGGGAGAAACACATGATCTAAATAAACAACCTAACCCGAGCCCTCCCCCCACCGTGCACCCCAATTAACATTTGTGTATTTTAGATCTTTCTGTAAAGGATATTATATTCGGCATGTATTTTGCAATGTGCTTTTGGACCAATCTTTCCTAACCATTTCCAGCCCAGACTGAGGGATCCATGTTGCATCTTCTTACGGCCAGGCCTGGCTTGGAAGGGGCCTTTCCTGGTTACCCCGGCCGCAGAGGCTATCGCATGACTCCACTGAAGTTCCTTACGTGGCCTTCTGGAGTTACTTTGTTGATTTATTTAAGTTGATCTTCCCACCCCCGGAATGTGAGCTTTAGGAGAGCAGGGACCTTGTGTTTTGTGTTTATGCTTGTACCTGACAGATTGTTCATGACATGATACCTGCACCTAGTATTGCCCAAGGAACTAATGAATAAATGTCCTAAATTGACCTATTTTCACCCTCCCCCGAAGTGGCTCAGACTCTCCTATTTCTTGTCCTGGTAGTGACTCTGCAGCCTGCAGAGGCACCAGTGCCAGAAACTTGCCTCTTTCCTTTCTCCTCTCATTCCTTTCTCTCCTCTTCCTTCTCTCTCTTACTCTCTTTCCCTGACTTTCCCCAGCCCCTTCAACAACCCACCACTCACCTGGCACTTCTAGCTCCTAAATTTCTCCAAATCCATCCCTTTCTCTGTGTTCCCCTCCACTGCTGCTAGAAATTGCACGTGTCTCACCCACTTTGTAGAAGAAGTCTTCTACCTGTTCTCACAGGCCACCCCTTTAGCCTGTTACCCCGACTTCTTTGCCCCTCCAGAGGAGCCGGATACAGAACACATTGATCCTTTGTCTTCTATTTCCCAGACCTGTTGAAAGCAGCACCTTAACAGACCAAGTTGCCATATGTCCTGTGTGTAAGCACGAGGCAGCTGGAACTGTGAGCAAACACAGGAGCTGGTGAGCCAATCTGTATTTGATTGCAGGGATCCTTAGAAACAACTCCTACGTGAAGTCACGCGAAACACAAATACAGTGATTGCTCTGTATTAAAGCCTAGAAAGAGGGGAAGTCATAGTACTGCTTCAGGGCTGGGGATATGCTCAGCAGTAGAGTACTTGCTCTCGATATATGGAAAAAAGAAGGAAAGAAAAATAAAAGGTGAGTTTCTTTATGCTTCCTGAATCTACTGAATCCTTCCTTTTATTTTTATTTTTATTTTTGACGGTTCTGGGGTTTGAACTCAGGGCTTATGTACTTTCAAGGCAGGTACTCTCCTGCTTGAACCACACCCCCAGCACTTTTCTGCTCTGGTGATTTTGGATATAGGGTCTTATTTTTTGCCCAGGCCAGCCTGGACCATGGTCCTCCTGGTTTAAGTTTCCTACCATAGTCAGGATTACAGGTGTGCATCACTGTGCCCAGACTGTTAACTCCAAGGGAGCCCCCGGCCTCCTAACTTCTTTTTCCAAGGACTGTCAGTCTAGTGCTGAACAGGACACATACATGGACCCCCCACCCCCAAACAGACACCTCCTTGTCAATAGCAATGGCACCTTTGTGTTAACGTTCTCCCAAGGCCTGTGATGAACAGTGTCTCACATGGTTGGAGCTCTATTGACTTTGGCCCCTTTTGATGGATAAAACAGAAGAGAATTTCCCAAGGTCACAGGGCTAGTTGTGGCTGACACAAGGATTTTAATGCCTCTGTGCCTTTCAACTTGCTGTTTCTGCTGTCTAGGATGCCCTCTTCTTCTGGCCAGACACCTTCTGGACCTTACAGATTTCCTCTTCCTTTTCCCTGCTATAATTCTAGCAAGCTAGCTCAGGGATTGGTTTCTCTGTAAAGCCTCCCTGTGCTTGGTGGAACAGAGTTGGCTTGGTGAAAGGGTTGTGGCTGTGGTTACTGTACCATGTCGCCACACCTTGCTGCAATGAACCACACTAATGTTTGTTCCCTGGAGTACATGTTGGTGGGAGTGAAGACTGGGAAGACATTTTTAGAGAGAAGACTGGAAATTTCTGTCAAAATATGGAAATAGATCTTTTGGACCAGCAATCCCATATCAAGGAAGCTATTGGATCCATTCATTCATTCAACACATTTACAGAGCATTTACTTTGTGTGATAGTGTTCTTGGCCTGGGAGTACAGCAGAGACTCAAGTGGATAAAAGTCCTCTACAAAACATGAGCAATCAAGTGCAGCAATGTAGAAAAATGATGATGCATCATGATCAAATAAGTTCTGACCCGGGAAGAAGAGGCTTTGTAGCACTGGAAAACAAATCAATATAGTTCGGCATCTTAACAGAACAAAGGGGAAAAAACAAGATTCCCGTTGTGTGACATATCATGTTCATGTCAGCAGGGGAAGAAAAGCAGTTGACAAAACCACATATGATTCATGACGAACGCTCTCAGTCCGCCAGTGCTAGGGGTGCTTCACCACTGAGCCACAACCCCCAGCCCATCCAACTCCAGTTTGGAAGAGCCTGTGGCTTCCTGCTGACCTGTTATAGGTTCCTTCTTCTTCTGTCCTCTGACTGTTGGCTGTCAAACCTCTAATTGAGTCTTTCTTGGGGCAGTACTGGGGTTTGAACTCAGGTGCTTTACCACTTGAGCCATACCTCCAGCCATTCAAATTGCTTTAATTCTTGGTTTTTTGTTTTGTTTTGTTTTTTACAAATGCTGCTGGCTATGGCAAAACAGCCCACCTCTCCACCCTCAGGGTTTAGGATTTCATTGCCTTGCAGGAAATTATAAGGAGCATCTCAGTTTTGTAGAAAGCCAAAGCCTGGGGTAGGGTGGATTTCTCTCAGGCAGCCTACTTAGGATGGAATGAGAGGAAGTGGTAAGGCCTGTTTCTGGCCAGGAGCAGAGCACGAACAAAGGACAAATGGCCAGAAGGCCACTGAACTCTCTTTTCCTTTCTCCACAGTAGATCCAGGCTAAGCCAAGTTTCCTGAGACCCTCCTGATGTGATTTTGCAAACCAAGCCTTCTCGTTAATGAAAGGCTGGCTTTGTTCTGGCTGGCCCCTGAATCTCTGTGCCCGCCAGCCTGGAACCTGTTTTCCCTGATTTTCTGAGAGCTCTTTATCCCTGTCCACAAGTGTCCCCGATCATTTCTTAGAAGGAAGTCACCTTTGGAATAATGTCAAGTCTAACACAGCCCTGGGCTTGTGTTTTTGATGTATTTCAAATAATGATGGGAACAGAGAGGACCCAGAAAACAAATCAGTGACACCTGTTAAGAGGACTGGCCAGGTGGACAATGTCCTTTTGCCTTCCTCCCATTGTTCCATTCGTCCCAGCTTCTGAGAGGCAACAGATGAAGTAACATCTGCTAACTTAATTCATCTCTCTGTGCCTCAGTTTCCTCAAGTGTATGGCAAGGCTCCTTATGCTTTAGACTTCAGAGTGAGGATTAATAATTGCTCTGCTAACAGTGATTATGTAGTAGACACTATTCCAACTTCTCTTAAGAGGTTTTCTTCATGTCGTTCTGGGTATTCTTTTGAGGCAGGGTCTCTCCATGTAGCTCAGGCTGGCCTCTATCCTCCTGCCTGTGTCTCCAAAGTGCTGGGATTACAGGCACACTTCGCCATGCACGACCTCCTCGGATCGTTTAAGTTGGAACCGTGATTGTATGTTTATCTACCATACACATCCATTTTATTTTATTTTTTGGCAGTACTAGAGTTTGAACTCAGGGCCTCACGCTTGCTAGACAGGCACTCTCACCACTTAAGCCACTCCACCAGCCCTTTTTTGTGTTGGGCATTTTTGAGTTAGGGTCTCCCAAACTATTTGCCTGGGCTGAAATGCGATCCTCCTGATCTCTGCCTCCTGAGTAGCTAGGATTACAGGCATGAGCCACTGGCACCTGGCGACTTATATCCATTGAAAGACACAAGAACTCTTGTTTCAAACACAGAAGAGTGGGCTGGGCCGAAAAACAAAAAGTTAAGGGTGTGCGTGATCCTCCATTTATGAAGCAACTGCTGTGTGCAGCCACGTGCAGGGGATGCAGTAATACAATTCTTTATCCAAAACCCTGGGTATGTTTCTAAGTTGCTCTGATGATTTTAGAGAAGTCAGAAGTATACTGCGTACACCTCATTGCATATCACACCCTGGCCTGGGCAGCGAGCACACCATCATCAAGCACTTTATGGTTTTGAATAGTCAAATGCAGTGGATTTTAAAACACCCAGTAAAGAGCCTCATGGTCAGGTACGGTCAGGGTTTGCCACCAAACGAGGTCAAGCCAGGTCAAGTCCTGTTGCCAACAGAGTTGACCTTCAGTTTTTAGAGCTTTCGGACTCTGCAGTTGTGGATAAATGGATCTTCCCAATGATCCTAAGCAGTGGCTAGCCTCAAGGACGGCCAGATCCACAACTTTAGCTGTGGTCGCAGAGCCAATGACAACACACCAGCAAGAGATCCCGTTTCTCCAGCTTTGACTACACTTTGTGTATTCTACCTCATTTAGCCATCCCAACTAGCCTGGTCTTCTTATTCCCATTTCACAGATGAGCAAACTGAATTTAAGAGAAGCTAAGTAATGTGCCCTAAGTCATGATTTGAACCCAG